TACTCAGCCTGTACCAAGATATCATGAAGGTAGAAACTGCAGAAACAAGTCACAAGCCCCAATGCTGAAGGAAGTATTAAAATGTAGAACAGGCGTCCCCAAACTTTTTACACAGGGGGCCAGTTCACTGTCCCTCAGACCGTTGGAAGGCCACCACATACTGTGCTCCTCTCACTGACCACCAATGAAAGAGGTGCCCCTTCCTGAAGTGCGGCGAGGGGCCAGATAAATGGCCTCAGGGGGCCGCATGCGGCCCGCGGACCCGTAGTTTGGGGATGCCCGATTTAGAAGCTTGGTGAAGGGGCTGTATGGGGTAGTGACCCAGGCCTCTTAGGAGGGAGTGCTGGTTGGCCAGTGCTAATGTTATGAAGAGAGTATGATAGGGCTGCTTCTACAAGTGTTGAAAACTGCAAACTGGAAAGAAACCCATTTCCATCTTCTCCACTGATGGAGTGGGGAAGCATTGCCAGGGTATTGTAGTCAGGAGCAGAGGACAAACAGGAAAGAGTAACTCCTCTCCTCCTACTCTAACCTTCCAATTTCCCTCTAGCACCTCTTGTGGGCAGAACCTAACAAAAAGCTAAGTGACAAAGTATAAACATGGTATGTGATGTCCCAGCTCCAGTATCACAAAGCGAGAGTACAGGAGAGTGCGAGTGTGAGGCTGGCATAGTAGCTCAGTGGCTGCCGCAGCCCATCCATCGCCTACTCAGCATCACACACATTCTACACATATTTGAATTTCCAAGCAACAAAAACAGCCCTCTTTTTCTACCTAACAAGATACAACTATCTTAGAATGAAGATGTTCTGCCTAAAACAAACCGACAAAGTTCTCAGACCTCCACAATACCCAGTCCCCAAATCCCACACCTGTCTGGAGTTACGTTGTGAGAACTGGTTTCCATCATGTTGCCTTTCCCCTCTACAGGCATTTAGGTTTTGCTGCTTCTACTCCTCCACTGACTTTTCCTTTCCAAAAAAATCGTTTACATTTCTTATATTTTGTTGTCCTTTCTTCTACTTCTCCTTCTGGTTGATGCCTTTTTATTCCACTTCTGTCTTTTCAGTGGGTTTTGAGGAAGGAGGGACTAGTGATAATATTTTGTAGCTGGTACTGTTGATCCCCCACCCCGTATTCTCTTGGCCTTCCTCTGAGGACTACTGCAGCCATGGTGATCAGTTCCCATATACACTGAAAGTGCCTGCATCTCTCTTCTTCAGCCGGGAGCTTTCTCTGGGGCCCTTAGACTTGCTCATCCTAAGTGCAGGGCAGCCTGGAAGTTGCAGGGGTTTAATGCCCAGGGTCGTCCCTCAACCGGTGAGGAAGAGTCATTGAAAAAATAATCCACCTTCTCATCCCTAGTAGGACAATTCTGAGGCACCCAGCAGGATTGGCCCGCATTTTCCCACAATGGTAACTTGCTCATTAATAGACTCTTCATTGGCTTTTGTCCCTTCTTTAATTTTCCCAGTCCCTCATTTGTACTTCTTCAATTCACTGGCCAAATTACTTGCATCCAAGTCTGCTTTTTGGGATATTCAAACTAAAATGTGTTCAAATTGCTGTTGAGCAAATATATTCATGTTCATTCATTTATTGGGAAGCTGCAATTTTCTATACACTGTGAAATTGAACTGGTAACTTATTATTTTTATGTGTTTCTCATACATATACCTGTGTGTATATGTGTATCTCTCTCTCTCTCTCTCTCTCTCTCTCTCTCTCTATATATATATATATATATATATATATATATATATATATAAAATGCATACTTGATCTTAAGTTCATTGGCAATAAGAGCTGTGACTTCCACTTACTTATGCTTATCTCCTGAGTCTAACACAGTCCAGTGCAAACAGGAGGTACTAACAATTATTTCAACAATGACCATTCCTATTTTTAGGCTTCAAATACAGTATACAATGTTATACACAAAATCAACATATAAAGTTGATGTTAAATAATTTGTAAATGAAGATATAGCTTAAAAAACATTTGTACACCTCCTATATGCACAAGCATGATGCAGGTTATAAAGTCAAAATGCAGGAACTTAATATAATACATGATAGGCACTAAATAGCATATACTTAAGTGAAAAATGAGTTTATAGAAATATTACCTCAGAAAAGGGAAGGATTAAGATAGAGTGGTAGGCATGGTTGGAAATAGCTTCCAGAAGTAGTAATTATTTGAGGAATAGTAGGGTTTAATAGGATTTAAATAGGTAGAGGAGAGGAGGGTATTTCCGTGTTGGAGTGCAGGGTGGGAAATCAGTGGTGACGGTCAAGAGCCCTGCATTAACATGGAGAATGACGCTAAAGGGACCTGAATGCACGTGGTGTATGGAGCGATAGGGAGAATGGCCCGACTAAGGGTTTGTTTCCTGTTGAGTCGCAGTAGAAAGAAAGCAATGGAGGGCCTTTGAACCCCAAGGAATTTGGACTTTCTTGCTGACACAAGAGGGAGTTTTTGAAGGATTTTCAAATATAAAGTAGTGATTGAATTGGAGAGGATTAATTTGGCGCCTTGCATAGACAGCAGGCGTGGACGAAGGCCAATGGAAGAAAATCCTGGTACAATTTGCTTTCTAGAATCTTCAGGACTCTGTTGCTTTCCGTGTAAGTAAACATTTTTTTCTTTGAAATAATATACTATGCATTTAAAATCATCATTTTTCCTTTGGTTTCTTCTTCTAGTTCAGAGTATTTGATTCATTTAAAAAGTTAGCAAGTTTAGCAAAAGTCCAAGCAACCAAAAGATTGCAGCCTGTTCTTCCTGGCTATTCGGAAAGGTGGTAGATAGAAATGGAATGACTTCTGTCTGGTTTGCTTCATTGAATTTTAAGGATTTGTTTGTTTAATTTTAAACTTTTGTACTAAACCTTAAAATGGCTTCCATATAGACAATTTTATGCATCCCAATTTTGAGATTTAGATTATGTGTCATGAATATTTTCATAGAAAGTTCTGGTCATTCTGAAATGTCCTAGTTTAATATTGCTACATTTTAAGAGGATCTTGTTACATATCGAGCAAGACATTTTTGTCCTGTTTTTCTCACATGTAAAATGAAAGTCAGTGGAAAAATATTTAACTAAAATTCACTTTTAAGGAATGCTTTGATATAAATGTGGTGGTATACACAGTTACTTTGAAAAACCATGAATCTACTAATCTAGTATTCTACTAGAAACATATTCATTTAGGTTTTGTTTTTGCTTTTGTTTTTTCATAGAAATGGGGTTTCACAGTGTTGCTCAGGCTGGTCTCAAACTCCTGGGCTCAAGTGATTTTCCCACCTCAGCTTCCCAACAGCTGGGACTACAGGCACTGCGCCTGGCTTATATTAGTATTTTTAACAGACTTTCAATCATGTAAATATAATTCGGTCATATGCAAATTAGGAATATTTTAGGAGAGGTTCTTTTCATCTACCTATTTCCTTTAATCATTATTAAGCAGTTAAACTACATTCAGTTAAGAAAAATGAAGGTGTTCCTTTTTTTTTCATCTTTGTGCTTCAGTTTCCCTTGCACCCAACGAGCGTTCATTGAATCTGTCCTCTGGGAATGGCATTGTGAGGTGCTGGGACACAAAGATGACTCCTTGGAAGGTCTCCTCAAGGAGACTTTAGTCAGATAGGGGTCAGGACTTGTAATAAATGAGATTTGAAGTGTTATAATTACTCACAGAGCTTCAAACAGGACATGTGAAGATAGACAATAGGATAAGGTGAGGAAAGAAGAAGGTCAGGGCAAGCTTTAAAGAGAAAGTGATACTTGAGTTTCAAAAGATGAGAGGATGGAAGAAAAATGGAATTTCTGGTGGAGCTAGCAATATAAGTTTCTTGAACTGTCTAATTCTGTGGTATATACCAGCAGCTTTTTTGCTAAGGCTAACCTCCGACTATGGATGAAAATGAAAAGGAAGGTTTTTAGAGACAAAGAAAAGTTTCTTTTCTTTAATAACTCAGAGTCTAAAAGTGATGAGGTTAGCATATAAATGAGCATTCTGAAGTATTTTATGACATACATTGTGATGTGTAATCACTCGATAGTGAATCACACAGTTTCTGTATCCTCTTCTCTTTCAGGAGCTTCAAAAGATATCCTCTTCCTTTGGCCCTCTTCTACCTCATTATGCCTCTCATTTCATGAACACAACCTCATAAAAATGACAGTCTTTCTTTTCACATCCTGGTTCAGATGGAGCTGTTACAGAGCAGAAACTTGGACCAGGTCTACAATGCATAGATTCAGTAGACATTCCTAAATCAGGCCCACCTTAATCCCGTTTTTTATAATTCCGTCAGTGTCTTCTATTTGTAATAAATACGGTCTGTTATATTAGAGGCACTATTCTAGGTACTTCAGAGATATTAACCACTAGAATGGACAAAGATCTCCAACCCAGTGGAATCTACAGAGCAGCTCTGGAAGATGTTTTCTTTCTTCCACACAAAGCATTTGTTAAAATTAAGCTGCTGCCTAAAGTACTGAGTTTCTTCAATGTGCCTTGTATATAGGAACTGAGTGGAAGAAGACATTCTTTATTTTGGGGGAGAAAGCTTTTTTTTTTTTTTGTAGCTAAGGGTTCTGTAGGGACAGACCAGTATGATGTAGCATATTTTCCCTAGTTTATCTTGTAAAAAAGATGAAAGTTGGAAAGTACTAAAAATATGGTGGTTTCAGCGACAGATAAGTGGGTGAAGGGAGAAATATTTAAAGACAAGTTATTTGAAGCTTTCCTTGCTTTGTGCCTCAGTGAGGAGAGAGAGAAGGCAGCTACCGAAATGACTAAGTCGTCAATTATAGCCTGGGTGTACTTTAAATAGGCAGAATATAGAAGCATAGTAAGAAAGCAGAAGGGCTAAATAGGAAAGAATTCTGTTATGACATTAAGAAATCCTATTTATTAACATTGCAACAGATTTGAAATAGAATATTTTCAGTTTTATTTTTTGATTATAGTTCTCATTTGTGATATTATAGATGCTGTGCCTACTCTCTCAGGAAATAGTCCATCTCTGCAGACAGATGTGAGTTTGGACAAGAGATCAGATGGTACCCTTACAAATACTGTAACAGAAAACCTCTTGGAAACACCTTTAGAAAAGCAATCAGCTGCAGAAGGTCTTAAAACATTGACAATTTTACCAGCATATTGGTCGTCAAGTAAAGAGGAGTTTATCAGCCCCAACTTAAGGATATCAAAGTCAGATTCTACTTTCCATAACCAGGCCTCTGTAGAAACACTCTATCTCTCTCCTTCATTCAAAATATTTGACCCAGTGAAGGAGATTGTAATCAACAAGACCTATCAGAAACCAGCACAAGCCAGTATTATTCAGATGGATGATAAAACTTTCAAGACAACCACACAGGGTGAGTCTAACAAAAAAACAAAACACAAAACAAAACCAAAAACCTCTTCTGAAGCATTATTTTACTTTTCTCTGCTTTCTGTCTCCTTGTTTACCTCCTTCCACTCTCATCAGTGATATTAAAATGTGCATGTCATACAGATACTTCTCAGTTGGGAAAGTACCCCTTTTAGTAAAGGGCTAATAGATCATTCATCCCTGTGGGTTCTGAGTCCTTGGTTGAACATCTTACCATAAGTTCTGAGCAATTTTGATGCAGACCAAATTAGAAGAAACTAGCATGAATTAAGTGCTTTCTATTGGACATGTAGGTTATTTATTAAGTGATTATATGAAAAAGAGTTGGTTAGTATGTATATTGGTGTATACACACATCTCTGCATACACACTTGTGCATGCATGCCTTTAAAAAGGGCTGTGTACTGACCACACAAAAGGGGCAGGGGATCTTGTCCTTTTTTATATGCTTATAAAACACGAAGAGTGCAATACTGTTTAGACTGGGTGATAAAGGATAAAGCCAGTTGAGGTTGCAGGTTATTGGCTGTCAGTTACTAAATCCTCCATTGTATAGTTATGTTTTCTTCTTTAAAGTTAACTAGTGAAAGAATAATTTTTTGTTCATGACTAAGTAGTAGTTTTATTGGTTCTTATATATAATAGTGCTAACCAACTCATATAAATAGAAATATTTTTAAATTTATTTTTATTAGAGACAAGATCTTGCTCTGTTGCAATCAATGCAATCATGGCTCACTGTAGCTTCGAACTCCTGGGTTCAAGCATTCCTTTGGCCCCTCAGGCTTCCAAGTAGCTAGGACTACAGGTGCATGCCACGACACTTAGCTAATTTCATTTTTAATTTTTTTTTTAAATTTTGGTAGAGGTTGGGTCTTGCTATGTTGCCCAGGTTGGTCTTGAACTCCTGGCCTCAAGTGATCTTCCTGCCTCAGCCTCCCAAAGGTCTGGGATCACAGGCATGAGCCACTGTGTCTGGCCAATACAAAGATTTTAATGTGAATCTTTTAAGTTGACTCAAACCCAGATTAAAAGTACATATAACTATAAATAATGGAAGCTACCATGTTGAAGCTAAAGAAATTTATATTGGTATTAGTAAGGTCAATGAGTAATAAAAGATTTTCCTTTGTGCTCTTTCAAGAATTTTTTGATATTGAATAGCGTAAAGGTAGTAAAACTGATTCTCTGTTTTGTCAACCAATTACTTTTCTTTTGAGACTACTGATGTGGAAACCAGTTAGTACTGGTTATGATGGCCCTGATGGCTTATGTGCATGGCTGTCTCCTGGGAAGTTGATACTTTTGGTTCATTTCTTTCACGAATACCACAAAATGATCATTGAAAATATTTTTTGGTCACTGTGAGTGTACCAGGTACACTTAAAATTTAGCAAGAAGTTCCTCGAAAACTGGTTAACACGAGAAATTTTGTGTCTGCTTGTAATAAATAGAACTGGTCTAATTCTACTATCAGAAATAATTATTAAATCCGGGAAATTATTAAAAGCTGGTTTGAAGTCATCATCAGACAACCAAGTAGAAAAAGCATAGTAAGGTGAAGATACCAGGGGGAAGACAATTGAGGTGAGTCCCTCATTCACCTTAGTTTTCCCCCCTTGAGTCATCTGCTTATTCTCAGAGCAACATAATAGAAGCTGAAGAGAAATCAGAGGTCTGGACTTTCCACAGTCTCACTGAGCTTGGGAGACAGGTAGGAGTTTGGGGTTTTCAAGGTGTCAGGGACTTGAAGGGCCCGTATTCCAGAGGGAGGGAAAGTCTTTCTGTCATTTCTTACCGAAACATTTGCTTACTGCTAAGCTACATGCCTTCAGGATGAGATGCCAAGAAACTAAATGGGAAGCAGCTTATAAGAGGCCAGTGAGCTAAGCAGACAAGGAAACAAACGTCGGAGTTCAGGATATGGTGAATTGTAGGATCCGTGGTGATCACTCCAGGCTTTCCACTGGGACCCCTGATAGGCTATACTATATGCCTCAGAACTATACTGTAGGAATAAGGACAAACCAGAAGTTGAACAGCCCTCACAAATACTATTAATAAAACCTATTTCGCCTAGAGCAAAGTGATTGATTTGTGTTCCATCTGCCTTCTAGAAGACAATTAAATCCTTTCTTGAGAGTCCTTAAAATTTTTCATAAAATATTTTGGCTTTCAACAAAAAGTTACCAGGCTTACTAGGAAATGAAAAAATGGCCAGAAATATAGGAGAAAAATAGAGAATGGAAACAGATCCACAGTAATCTAGATTCTGAATGTATAAAATAGGTACTTTAAAATTATGGTTAATATTAATATGATCAAGAAGACAAGAAAGATGAAAAATTTCATCAGAATACTAGTATCTATTTTAAAAATCAAATGGACTGGGCACAGTGACTCATGCCTATAATCCCAGCACTTTGGGAGGCTAAGGCAGGGAGATTGCTTTGAGGCTAGGAGTTCAAGATAAGCCTGGGCAACATAGGGAGAGCCCATCTCCACACACACACACAAAAAGCCAGATATGGTAGCATGTGCCTATAGTTCTAGCAACCCTGGAGGCTGAGGCAGGAGGATCACTTGAGCCCAGGAAGTTGAGGCTACAGTGAGCCATTATCATGCCACTACGCTTTAGCCTGGGTGACAGAGTGAGATTCTATGTCAAAAAAAAAAAAAAAAAAAAAAAATCAAATGAAAATTGTAGAGCTGAAAAACACAGTACCTGAAATTAAGATTCTGAGGGTACTTCTTAGTCCTTATATCCTGGAGTGTCAAAAGAGAGTTCAGTCTGGCAGGGAAGTGGGAAAGTTATGAATGAAATCCTAAAAGAGAAGGAGACTCAGGAGGGGCAAACCTCATTATTTGTGTATAAACTCTTCACAAATTCTTGACTGACCACTAAACTATACATATAGGGGGGCCTCAGAGAGTCTGACCAGAAAAAAAAAATCCTACTGGAAGCCAAAAGAACTGAGATGAGACTTCAGTTTCTGTTTACTGGAAGGCTGACAGTTTGAAGAGGCCAGGCAACTTATCTTCCAACCAGAACAAAATTCAGCACTCTTTAGAGGAGTATCACAGAATCCAGACACTCTACAATGTATCATCCAAATGTTCAGTATAAAATTTTAAAAATCATTAGGCATGTGAAGAAATAGGAAGATATAAGCCATATGAAGATATTAAGAGTCAGTAGAAACTGACCCTTAGATGACCCAGATGTTGCAATTAGCAGACAGATTTTTTAAAAGCAGTTATTATAAATCCATTTAAGAACTTAAAGTACTCTCAATGAATGAATAGAAAGGAGCATCTCAGCAGACAAATAACCATAAAAAGGAATTAAATGGAAGTTCTGGAGCTGAAAGATAAAAGAACTGAAGTGAAAATTTTACTGGAAGGGATTAGCAGAAGATTAAAAATGAAAGAAAGAGCAAGTTAATTTGAAAATAGATCAATAGAAATAATCTAATCTGAAAATGGAAAGAAATAGATTAACAAAAAAGAAACAGAGAGACTCAGTCTTGTGAGACACTGTCAAGCACTCTGACACTGATATAATTGGAGTTCCAAAAGGTGAGGAAAAGACAGAGGGTCAGAAAAAAATTATTTGAAGAGATAATGCCCAAACCTTCCCAAATGTGTGAAAGAAATAAACTTTCAGATCCAAAATGCTCAATGAATTTCAAACAGAATTAAATTTTAAAAACATGTCTGGATGCATTATAGTTGGACAGCTGAATTCCAGAGATAAAATCTTAAAGGCAGCAAGAAACATTATCATATTACATGCAGAGGACCAAGAATACGAATGACACCTGATTTTTTTTTTATCATAAGCAGTGTATACCACGAGACAATGAAAAGTCGTCTTGTAAGTGTTAAAAGGCAAAATCTATTAACCCAGAACTCTGTATCTAGCAGAACGAAAAAAATGGAGATGAAAACAGGACTTGATTCAAGTGAATAAAAACTAATCATCAGGAAATCCATACAAGAAACACTGAAGGAATATTTTCAGCCTAATGAAAAATTATGCTAGTTACTTGAATCTACAGAAAAGAATGATGAATGTTGGAAATGGTAAATACATGGACAAATGTAAAATACTATGTGTGTTTTTTCTTCCAATTAAAAAGTACATGTAACTATTTAAAGCAAAACTTATATTTTGGGGCTTGAAACATATGTAGATATATATTACAATATAGCACCAAAAATGGAAAGTTCATGGAATTATACCACCGAAAGATTTCTATATTTTACATAAAATACAATATTAACTATAATTAACTCATGATAGGTTAAGCATGAGTTTATTTAATTACACTTGTAAAAAGGAAAGCGGTATAGCCAAAGCCCTGTTGAGGAATTAATATGGAATACTAAAAATATATTTGATTAACACAAAAGAAGAAAGGAAAGGGGGACAGAAACAGACAAACAGAAGGCAGATAGCAAAATAGAAGACCTAAATCCAGCCATTTCAATGATTACATTAAATGGGAGTGGAATAAACTTTCCAATTAAAAGGAAGAGACTTTAGATTGGATAGAAAAGCAAGACTCAACTACATGCTATCTACTAGGGAAGTGCTTTAAATACAAAGACATAAATTGATTAGAAGTAAAACCATTAAAAATATGTACTGTGCAAGCAGCATAAGGCGGGAGTGGCGAATTAATATCAGACAAAACTGACTTCAAGACAAGGATTATTACTAAAGAGGGCATTTCATATTGATACACAGGCCAGTACAGGAGGGATATATAGCAACTAAAAAAGGGATATATGGCAACTGAAAATGTGTATGTACCTAATAAAAGAACTTCAATATACATGAAGCAAAAACTGACAGAATTATAGGGAGAAATTACACAAATCCACAGTCATAATTTGAGATTTTACTATTTTCAGCAATTGATAGAACTCGGCATAAAAATCCTTAAGTATGTGGAAAATATGAATAACTATTCAAAA